GGATTAATCTATATACATACACTGTACATACATTTGAAACAGATTACTAGTAAACCACAAAACCACGGAACAGAAGAAACAGGGAGAAATAAAAGCACAGCCTTCACGATAGACTAAATTACAAATGTAATCGGGAAAAAACGGTATTTTAAACATGGATAGTGGTAATAATGATAATACAATGAATCATGTTTGTTTTTATTATTAAAGGACGCTTACGCGCGTAATCATTCCATATATATATACGGTGACAGATGTATAATAATATTTGTTCTTGATCGAGTTATTTATGCTAGTCTGATATGATGTAATGAAATATCATGTGTCGGGACACACATCGTGCTTCAAGGAACATCTACAATTCTTGTTCTGTTGTTTTCCGATCTTGCATTACGACAATTGTGGTCCGGTACTAGATAAATCTTTATACGCCACATACTATGTAACGATGTCAATGAAAGATAGTGTATATATATATATAGTAGGACTATATAGATGCAGAGGATTTGGCAAGTTATTTATTTACTTATTTATTTACTCACTCACTACCCTGGGTGGATATAGGAATGATCACAGAATGCAAGATACAGCGACAGTAAATCAACAAATCCGTCATGCATTATTATGGCGGTGTGACAAGAAACAAAGTTATATATACATTTCATATAAATATTGTATACTCTTCACTTTTATTTTTATTGAATTATCAATTATTCATTAATTCTAATTCGACCAAGTTCAAGTTTTCGCGGAGTGATTTCTCTTCACTTTTCCACCATAGTGTTGCCATAAAAATGCAATACCACAGAAGAAAGGATGTGGGTACTATGGCGATGGACATGACGATGTTTGCACCAGGAATGTCTAAAAGAAGAAAGGCGAATACAACTCCTAAAATTAAAAATATTCTAAATATCCAATTTAGACGTCTGGTTTTCAGCTCTACCAGTTCACTTCTGATATGTCGTAGAACGTGTTCACGTACTTTATTTTGTTCATTCTGTGAATTCGATGTCCCTACAATAAAATATAAAACAGTCAGTCATAAACAGATAAGAAAAACACATAAATGCACGGTTTTCATCATTTCAACATAAAGTGTCTATAACAAAATGCTTCTGACGAATTCGAAATTCGTGTCACTGAGCATTTGTGTGCTTATGCATTGTGGGTAAAAATATACCTTGGTATACAGCTTGAAAACTACCACACATAAATATTAGATTTCATATCAATATCACACGACTTTTTATTCTTTAAAGATACAAATCCCGTGATTTATTCAAACGCGTACTGCATGGCGACTGTAGCGCTATAACTAGGATATGAAAGATAAAAAAAAAGACTCCTTACGTTGCTTTTCCTGATTCTCTGTTGGCATTATTTCTAGTGTTGTTGCCACACCCTCGTGGTCTGAATAGGAATAATCTTTCCCTGGTACTTTTGTCATGGTTACGTTCGTTTCAATACATTTTACATCATATCTTTGACTTGAGTTGTAGAATATATAGTCAATACGTGCTCCATTCGGCCACATCTTCAACTCATCTGGAATGGTAAATGGGTTGCTAGGCGACACACACGTAATACCTGCCGAATGTTCCTGTATATGACAAAACACTATGTAAAAACGTGTCCGTCGAAGATACAAATAACATAATAATAGAATCATGATACACACCCTCGGCTTTAATATTGAATGTCAGCAGTTGTCATTTTGCACAAAATAAATAATTCCAGACACCCCAACTAAAACACGATCAGCGCCTAATTGAAATTGTACCCATTCGGTCTAAACTATCAAAGGAATTGTGAAGTACCATAGACCCTACAATTGTAGAGTCTTTGAAAATAAAATGTTGGTGGTAGGAAAGATATGTCCATCACAGGGTTATAGTGTTAGACATGCAGTGCATCATGGTACTTCCATAGACAACCTATAGGTTAACCTTGACCTCTATACAGACAAAGACATGATTGTGCAATCCGCATGCAATTATATCAGATCAATACCCATACCCACATTTTCTAGGACAATTATTTTCAATATGTCTCAAGTATTCAACAAACTAATTGTATCTCATTTATTTTAGGATCCTCTCTCCTCCCATTAAACGAAACTTAATTTACCCACACTGACAGTTTACACCTGCAATCGACAACAGACATTCAACCCTATACGCATGTTACTCTACTCTTTTTAATTTCTATTCCAATATTTAATTTTCCACGCGGTAATTAATAAACACATTATGAAACAAGTTAGTTTGTCGTCTGCGCTATGTATTCATATATTCCAAACGCCATACGCAAAAACCAAATGTTTGTCTTCTTTTAATATAAGTTTCTCCACCCTTCCCCTAAGCATTCGTGTCAAATATATAAATAAACATAGTTATTACTCAAGTATTACACGAGTTTCATTTTTTTTAAAAAGAAAATCATGGTCATGTGCATACACTATCACTATCAATGTTCATGATTGACCTAATTTGTTACGGCCCTCTCAAGATGAAACGACACATTAAAATAAGGAATGTTGTCGTCTATGCTATGTGTTCATATATTCCAAAAAAACAAACGCAAAAGCCAACCCCCTGCTTTCCTTTAATAGAAGTTCCCCGCCCCTCCCTTTTAAGCATTCATGCCAAATATAACTCGGTGTATTAGCGTCCTAATCCAACAGCCATAAATAAACATAATGCATCTACTCACATTTGCATAAATAATCATAATGCATCTACTCACATTTGCATAAATAAACATAATGCATCTACTCACATTTGCCTTGCTTTGTTGTGTTATCCACGAATCGTTCATTTCTATAAGTTTACAAATTAGCTCGTATCCACCCTCGTGCTGCTCTGTGTTGAAATCTCCCATCAAAACATTAACATCGCTGCTTTCACTGGTCGTAAACTTTATAAACTGACTCAGTTCATAGGCTTGTATTAAACGGTGTGCATAGTAGTATTTCTTAATAGCGTTGGTCTCCTCATGAAGCTGTATAAGAATACTATAGTGCATAACTGAATCATTTAAGCATAGCGCCCCCTATATAACTATGCGTACCATTTTTGGTATTTCATGTCGGTGCTTGGATATGTTTTTGATTCTGTTATTTTAAATTTGACAGTTTGGCTAAACTGCACGTATAAATAGTCTATACGGGCAAACAAAAATTTAGTGTGTTATTCATTCTATTCCATTTTATATTAATGAGTATGTTCACTTAATGATAACAAAGAATCATCTCTTGTGTAGGCAATTTCGATGGTGTGCAATTCAAATGAGACTATATTATCAGTCAATGAGAGCAATTAGCAGATACTCTCATATAATGGAAACGGTTTCAAATCTGACCGTGACGTTTTTATAAACAAAACAAAAATCAGCCAACTCTAATTTTTTTTTTAAACTGACGATTTCCACGCACAAACAGTTATGTAGTAACAAATGTCGTTTCTCATCTTTGAAACCCGTGGCCATGTCATTGAGTTCTGTTCTGTTTCCGAAATAGACAGAAATAACATTTGTTTTTTGCCTTTAAAGCGGGATGGTCGTCACCTGCGCACGCGCAGGAACTGAGTCGCAAGTGACGATAAAAACACACGCTAAAAATGCAAAGGTTCATGGGTAGACGCATGTTTGTAAACAATGACACGCTATGACCATCTGGCGCATACACAGGTGACGAATCCCCCGCTTTAAGCGTTGTGCAGAAAATTATAGCAAACATTTGGTTACAAATAGTTTTAATAAAAAAAAAATACGTATATTAGCATTCCCGTAAGTATATATCATCTTATAAGTGATGTTAGTTTTCCACCAGAAATAGTCTTGAGGTACCTCAGACAGTAATAAATGTATTAGTTGTCTGAGGTTGAACGACGCATATTTGTGTCCATTATTAGGGTAAACATCAACAACAAATGCCGAACACAATACATATCTTTACAGTAACACAGATTTGCACGTCCACTACATTGTATTGAACATCTACGTATAGCAGGAGGGTCGGCAAGGGGTATTTTCGTAAGCTGTAATCAATTGTTTTTATTTTATTTTAATTTAAATAAATAAATAAAAAACGTAAATTCGTAGACATGGGTAAGGTGTAAAATGTAATCAGCTATTTTATTCGTCCGTAATTTGTACAAAGATATTAATTTATGTAAGCGTATAAAACATTTTCCAAATTAAATGTCGTAATTTTCAATTTTGATTCGTAAACTCAAATTAGCAAAAATATTAT